TTTTTTTTTTTTTTTTTTTTTCCGAGAAATCAAGAAATGAAAATAAAAAACTTTATAAACTTGAGTCTTTCTCCTTTTATTACCGGGACCGAAAGTGAGAGTAAAAGTTTAATTTTTTCACATATTTTTTGAGTGAGAAAATTCTGATATTGTTGATTTACTCCCGTGCATAAAGGTCTATGGAATTATAACTTGAAATAGTTGATTACCAATAGGTACATAAGTATACATCGTTTTACAGTTCATGTGCTTTTATGTTAAGTACAATTACAGTCGAAAAATAAAATAAGTTTATCATCTTGAAAAAATAGAAGAAAAGATTTTTGATACTACTAAATACTGGATTTCACAAGAACACATGGAAGAAAAATTTTCAATAGTGACACAGTCTGTACTTACTGAAAATTCTTTTATGAGTAAATGTATTTTTCTTCGATTGGGCAAAGTTATTTTATGAGTATATTAAAATTTGGTCCACTTAAATGTCTTGCGACCAATAAATTAGTAAGTATTAAACTTATTTTGAAACTTTTTAACGTATTTTGTAACTGCATTAAGTAAAAAAAAGTTTGTTCAATTGAAACCAATAGAATAAAATATCCTTTTTAAGCTTGACGTACTCTTTTATCTAAAAATTTTGTAGTAAAATAATGTTAAAGAATTATTTTTGGAAGATTTTAGACTATATTGTTATTGAAAAACATTTTTTAAGTTTTTGTATTGAACGATTTTCTAAGTAAATTTTCGTGTATAAACATACACTAACACATACACAGTGTAAGATGCTTTTCTCACTTTCAATAGTGGAGTTGGCAAACAAAGCTAGCAGAGGGTTTAGCTCGACTAGTGTGTACGTGTCCATGTGTGTGTATGTTTAGGATACATGTGCTTACCAGACATAAGATATTTATAACAGCTAATAACTTAATTTTTGAAACAATTTTACATACCTAAGCCTCTTTTGATGAAATCCTCTTTTTGTGCACAATTATATTTATAAATTTGTTGATGGTTTTTAACAAACTCACTAAAAACAACGTATAATTTTAATTTATGGAATTCAAAACAATGATATTTGAAACTTACTATGAATCTTCATGGAAAAACTTTACAGCAGCAAGTAATGGTTTCTTTTTAAATTCATTTTGAATGTCATCTGGTAACTTATCTGAACCAACAACTTGTCCAGGCCACCAGTAAGACCTTAATTTTACCCAAACAATATCACCATCTTGATAACTGAAATTGATTTGTCCACTCATATTCTTGTGGTGCAATAAAACTAAGTTCATATTATAAATGATGCTGAAAAAAACGGTTAATATTATTAATTACATAAAAAAGATACATTGCAAGAACAGAAGTAAGAATAAAGGGGTTAATCAATTATATTTTAATAAAGTAATTTCAAATACTTGAGCTATTAGATTCAATGATCGTTTTGTTTAATTCTCAAAAGTATTAATCCATACAGAAGTTACATCCATACATATTTTGGTATTTTTTTTATGTTTTAATATGCCAGTTCACCATCGACATTAAGAATATATGATCTAACTATATACACTAACTAATACTACATCATAAGACTTTTTGAGGACTTGCTAAGATAAAATAATTAGAGTAAATAAAGAGTTTTGTTACCTTTCAGGGTATTATTTTATTAGTTATTTATTACTAAAATAATTATCATATATAAGTTTCAATAGTTCACCGTAAATTAAATTTTTAAACATCGCGTGCAGTTAAAATTTAAAAACTTCAAGCCTGATAGTATCGCTTTTCACTCAGTAGGTGACGACTACTAGTTTCTAGAGAACACTACAAGTGATGAAACGAATTCTAGTATATTGGTATTGGTATTTTGATTTCAATGACTCTTTTCAGCTTGTGCCATATCAGAGACCTTTTAAGCTTTTAATTTTTTTTGTCCGAACCGCACGGTATACCAGTCTTTTGTGCGGGCCCCTTGCAAAGCTCCTCTCAGACGACTCGGTCATCCATCCTACTGGGTACTAATTACGGGATGCAGCCATTATCTTAAGCATATCCCAGCTAATATCAAGTTTAATGGAAAGATATTTTCCAATAAACTATCAAACTTGCTGCACCGACCTTTCTATAACCAACAGTGACTTTACCCGATGAGCCGGCCAGGTGTTGGCTTTCCTTTGAAAATGAAGCCCCGAGAAAAATATCTCGTTAATTTTGGACAGGATTCGAACCACGACCCCTCGAGTATCTCCGGCTAGGAGGCTAGCACGCCAACCAATAAGCCATGGAAGCTCTGCTAATTCTAGTATATAACAAGGACTGAGCGACGACTCAAAATTATCCACCCGGATCACTCGATCCTTAGCGATCGCAGGGTCTTCACTTACTTGGCGAAACTTAAGCACGGCAGTGGCTAGGGCCGTAGATTTTAAGTTTAATAAGCATTACTCTACGTTGACACTACAATCTTGCTGTGTTACCTTTTACACTTACCTGCTTTCCCTCACTGTCTACCAACGTTCTCTGGCTCCATCATCCAAGGACCGAGAGAATTAGACACTAAGTGCACTGGCTACCGACTCATCTTGCCTGCTGCATATCACTACCCAGCCACCCACCAGCGGCACCAGCTCTAGCAGCAGTTCGGAATCCAATGGAAGCATAGTCTCATCACGTCCAGAGCCTCCGGCACAGGGTGCTTAACGTTGTTCAATTTCGACAGCTGATTCAATCAACATCCGGTACCCTCAAAGGCGACTCACACCACCCCAGCTCCTCCCCCTCAGTGTTCTAAGTCAACTACTCCGACAAGCCAGTTTTGACAAGAGGTTAGAAAAGTATGGTTTTTTATTAAAATAAATTTTTGTTACGTTTAAATAAAAAAGGGCAAGTTAAATAAAAGTTTTGAAGCAAAGTGAAGTAAGGACGTATGTAGAATATGTAACAAAATTAATTACTTGTGTAACTCTAGTATTCGGTTTTAACAACTTTCTTTTATTTGTTACGATAAAATTAGCATAGCTAAGAATTCTATTTTGTCTGAGCATTTTTAAATTGATTTATACAATACAGCATATTAAGACTATTCAAGAAAAAAAGGAAAAAATACAGCTGGTAAAAGAGAATGAAAGCCTACTGCGAAAATAGCAAACTATCGATAACTGGATTAATGCAATATACATTAGTTGCTACAATAACAAAATAATTTAATGGTACAGTGTAGCGAAATAAAGAGTTTAGCAAGAGTATAAAAAAATTAAGGAAAGACCAGAACATTGTCTGGTTTTTTCAATTATTGATTATTCAAGAAAGGGTGCGTTCAATTGATTTTTTGTCTTGATTCCAAAACGGGTTTCAGAGTCAAAGTTACAGCAAAAATGGGGTACGCTCCATAAAAAAACATAGAAAACTTGGGTAGCTTCTAGCTAGGTCCGATATTAAAAAAAAATTGTATTTATTTAAACAATCTTCAGTCTTTTCTGCAAAATAATGACTGTAGTACAACATTTTTTTTTAAGAAATATTATTTTAGTCACCATTACAGAAGTTAAATAAAAAAAGTACTAAAATTTTTTCTACATTTAAAGATTATTAAAATAACTACGGCTTAAAGATTTGTTATTTAATAGAATTGAACAGTAAATAATGTCATATTGATAAATAAAAGAAAAACACATTAGACGAACAAGTGCACGTTGCTGTCATCGTCGAACTTATCATCATTTTCGGATTTTTGGTCGTTATTGATTTTTTTTCTCTTTTTTGTCAGCTACAATATCATCGATTGTCAGTAGAATCACATCACCTTGAAATCAAATTCGTTCTATCTCATTATTGTATTCAGTACATGTATAATCGATTGTGAAAGAACTTAAAAATGTATTTGGTAAATTCTTCTACATAGGGCTAACATAAACAGTTCATAGAATTTTCTGTAGCAGCAAATCGACGTAGGGCACAGAGAGAAGGTTTTTTTAGTTAAGTCACGCGAAATTAACGCTGTTGCTGTTGCAAATTTGTGATGATAAAGTTTTGCAAAAAATCTCGTTTTTTGAGCCAATCTACAAAATTAATAACACTTTTTTACATAAACATTAAGAGCTAAAATTTGGCAGAGTTGTAGCTTTAGTAATCTTCAATAACCACACTTAATTTCAGCAAGATTAGATGGATAGTTTTTTCGAACCGCAACTTAATGTAAAAAAAAACCTCCTAAAAAAGTTGTTTACAACTTTAGATGAAATTTTTTTTCGGGATCATATTTTTTAATATTTGTTCTACAACTTACTAATGAATTAAATTTTCTGCAGCGTGAAAGTTACTTATTCGTTCCCAAGGTATCGTTTTTTTCAGAGCGTTTGCAGTTTGAACGTACTCGCTCGTTAACACAGAAGCCAAGCTTCGGAGAGTAGACGTGGCCTATGTATCGGCGGCTATGGCGGCTCATTGCCCCTCACGCGCCGTACTGTCATGCGCAAAATATACCAATGCAGCTAATCATTTTTCAACTAACTTCCACACTGCAAAAAAATTTTATACGTTAGTAAGGTGTAAAGTGAGTATTTAGGAATATGATCTCACAAAAAAAATTGCACCTTACGTTATAAACAACTTCTTTTAGGCCGTTTTGCTCAAGTACCTTTTTTTGCATTTAGCTGCGGTTTGAAAAAACTATCAATCTGATCTTGCTGAAATTTAGTATAGCTGTCGAAGATCACTGAACCTACAACTCTGCAAAATTTCAGCTTTCAATATTTATGCGAAAAAAGTTATCAATTTTTGAATATTTGCTCAAAAAACGAGATTTTTTGCGTTTTGGAGAAAAATCATATTTTGTTCATCTTTTTGCCACGCATACTTCAATGTTCGTTTCCGACGCTAAAAACGGTCTTTTACCATTTTTGCTATTTTTTTGAGGCCTTAGGGGAAAATATTTTTTGTTCGATTTTATTACAATCGATTGACTTTATTGAATTCTTTACAATGTATTTTCGAGCTAGTCTGAATTTTCATTAACAAACAATTAATTCGATTCCACTAATATGTTTCTGCTTTGAGCTTTAAGCTAAAAAACAATTTTTACATTGCAGCATGTGAATCTTGCCAAGAATTATTACTAGAATATCTGTGTCTGATGTTTTCACATTAAAATTGCATGACTCTTGTAATTTACTGAAATAAAACACTATTTTTATCACATCAGCCTCCTTATAAAAGCACTTTTATTCAGGTTTTTCTGATCTAAAAATTTTATTATTTATTACAAAGTATGAGTAACACTGATTGTTATTCCTCACGCAAACGATTTTTTTCACCGATTATGGGCCCCAACGTGCAACTTCAAAACTAGTCAACAAGAAACCTTATAATGGCTTTCTTAAACCTAACATTCCTTAATATTTAAAAAAAAATCGCTTGGTCGCGTTTGAGATGGTTCGGTTATAATACTAACCCCTCTTCTTTCACTTTATGTTCTTCAGTGATCATGTAAAGTACCGATCAAAAATAACGTGTGTTGTAGACGCTGTGCTGTTAAAATTTTTTCTTAAAATCGCTTTAGCAATCCTTTCAAAGGTCAGTGGAAGAACACTTACCTGATGCAGAAAATAAACGCTGTCAATGACATCGATGCCTATTTTTGTGGGTGTGCAGGGATCGGTAAGAGGTCGGAGTTCTTTCATAAGAACGAATTCGTCAGTTTAAAGCATTTCACCACTAACATCGCATTAAGATGGAAGAGCTGAAGACAGCAGACACGACAGACATAGCTCCATCTTTATTTTTTAGTGAAGTTATAGCTACCAAAACTGCCTCATTCTATTTTTAGTACAAAATTGTTACACACCTACTTAAGGAAGTTCACTTGCTAAGAGAATTAACGTTAATTAACAATATTATCAATAAATTGATAATACTTTAAACAGAGGTGAATTAGTATACGAAAAATCTTTCATTCAAATTTCAAGTCCCTTTTTAGCTTATAAAGTGAGATATTGATGATTTTATTTTTGAACTTTAAACGTGCAGTCTTATGAAAATCAGTACTATTCTGATACATAACCTGCAATATCTGGATAATCAACGTCAATATTTGATTGGAAATTTTTTTGAAAATAGATAAAAACTTGGTGATTACGTAGCTATAGTCTCATCTTCATTCATGGCTTATGAAATAGGCAATAAATTAGTGAATAAAATAATTCTCCTTTGACAGCTACTGTTAGTACGTTACGTTACGTTATATCTGTATATATAGTCATACAGGTTACACACACAGCTGATCTTATGCTTCAAAAAGGTTAGATACGAGT